CACACACACACACACACACACACACACACACACACACACACACATATGGACGCACCCATGCACGCACATGCACGCGCGCACGCATGCATGCACCCTTTTAAGACCCCTCGGAAAGACCTGGCGGGCGCGGCGCTGGACGCGGCGCCGCCTGGGCTGGGCCGCCTGGGGCTCGTCTCGAATCTGGCGCCGCAAGGCTGCTATGAGGCGCGGCTCTCCCCCCAGCTGGTGGCCTCGTGGCATGCGCTGGCTGTGACGTGGCAGCAGCGCCTCCTGCGGCCCCCGGCGATGCCGCGGCAGCAGGTGGGCCTCGAGCCACGGGCTGGCAGTGCGTATGTGGTGCCGCGGCCGGGGGGGCGCATGGGCTGGGACGTGGCGCTTGCAGCGTCTGGGTGGCGCGCCGGCTGCGAGGCCTGCAGAGGCTGGCTTCCGGCCAGCTTCCTACGGCGCTTCCCACGGCCTGGGTGCGTCAGTTGTGGTAGCCTGGGCCGCCATCTGAGCGGGAGGTCAGCGCAGACGGCCGCTGGGTTTGTTGAGCAGCCGCGCGCGCGGTTGTTTTCAGTGGCAGACGACAGCAGATCGCTGGACCCCCCTGGCCGGACAGCGACGGCGTCGGCGTTGGTCGCGGGGGCCGCGTGGCGGGATTGTTGTGTGGCCAAGTGCACCCCTCCTCGCAGTCGCCCCGTGGGTGCGGCTGCGCCCCTTCGCCCACCGGGCCAGGGGATGCGTACGCACTGGACCGGCAATTGCGGCAGCAGCAGCAGCAGCGACGACAGCAGCCGCCGCCGCAGCAGCAGCAGCAGCAGCAGCAGCAGCAGCAGCAGCAGCAGCAGCAGCAGCAGCAGCAGCAGCAGCAGCAGCAGCGCGGGCAGCGGCGCGGGCAGCGGCGCGGCCCTGGCAGGCCGGGGGCAGGCTGCCAGGCCGGCAACGATGAACTTCCCGAGCCGCAGATGGCCTGTACTGTACATGGTGGGTGCGTAGGCTCGGCCCGTCCCTCTGGGGCTATGGTGATTTGCCGCTGGTGCAGTTTGCAACCAAGGCGGCGTACCTGCGCCACATGCGGCTGCGCGCTGAGAGCTGCATGCCCAACCAGTATGCGCCAGGGCGGGCGGTGGCCCGGCTGCTGTGGGGAGCGACCAGCGACTTGCTGGACCATACAGCTGTGCGGCGTCAGCTTGCCATTCACAGGTTCAAGCTGGCGCCGCAGCGGCGCCGGGCGCAGGTGGCGCGCCTCAGCAAGGCCGAGCTCGTCGACCTCTACCACGCGCCTTTCATGGACGCGTCGCCCGCGCGTGGGCTGCCGGCGGTGCGTGCAGCGCGGCGGCGCGCCGGGGCCGCTGCTGCGGCAGCACGGGCGGCGGCCGCGGCGGCGGCTACGGCGGCGCTGGAGGCTGCCGAGAATGATTATTGCGTCGACGCGCTTGAGTGCGGCGCCCAGCAGCGAGACGAGTGGCGCGCGGTGTGGCGCCGGGCGCACTCGCGCACCATACCCCTAGCGTCCGCGCGGCTTTGCCTGGATGCTGCTTTGTCCGGCGCTGTCCTGCGGGGGCTGCAAGGTGTCCAGGGCACCCAACCGGTGTGCGAAGCTGGCCGAGGCGGTGTGCTGCAGCAATGCGGTGCCGGCCGCCTTCTGTGGCGCCGGCGGCGCCTGCGGGGCAGGGGCGGACGCGAGAGCAGGCCGTTTTGGATGGGCAGCATGCATGGCGGCGATTGGCAGCTCAAGATGCTGGTGCACGCTCTCATGGAGTGTCCGGCAGTGCGCCCAGCGCTGCAGTGGCTGGCGTGTTTGTGGCAGCGCACTGGGGGCGGGCCCGCCCCTCCTCTGTCGCCCAAGGTGTGACTGCAGGACAACCCTGCGGCTTGGCGGTCGGCCCGGGACAGCAATGGTGGGGAGCTGTGGGCGCACCTGCGCCGTGTGGTCCCGGAGGCGGCGCGGTGCCTGCGCTCCCGGCGGCAGTTGACGGGACGGCACTTTGCAGCGGCTGACATCGTTGATGACGTCATCGACTGGGTGGAGCGTAGACTGGCACACCACTCGGTCTGACGCCCCTGAGCTCGCCGGCACGAGCCTCTCTTGGTTCCCCAACCGGTTTGAAACACAAGAGTCCACTACAACCTGGCCGCTCAGTGCTGGCAGCGTCGAAAATAATACGTACACAAAAAATCAAGGCGCACAGACACAAACTGCAGGCGCATTGCTCACACCCAGGAGACATGCCTGCCCTTGATTTGATTTGATTTGTTACAATCGTCTAGGCTAGCGAGACTCCTCCCGCCACTGTGACCAACCGCCCTTGGGCAATGGGGCCTCTCTAAGGCACAAGCTTGCCGCAGGTTTGGCCGCCTTCAGCTGCGGTGGCGCTTTGCTGGACTTTGCTGTGCTTTTCGTTGGGGGCTCCCTTTG